AAAAGAACAGAAGAAAATAGAAAGCTAAGCCGGGTATGCCTGTAATCCCAGCACTTGGGAGGCTAAGGCAGGAGGACTACTGCGAGTTCAAGACCAGCCTGGGCTACAAAGTGAGCTCAAGGCCATCCTGAACTGCATAGCGAGACCCTGTCTCAAAAAGACAGAAAAAATTAAAAAATAAATAAAAAATAGCTATCCCATGTTCCTGGGTAGGCAGAACCAGTATAGTCAAAATGGCTATACTTCCAAAACAGATATATAGATTTAACATAATCCCAGTCAAAATAGCAATAACATTCTTCACAGATCTACAGAAAACAATCCTAAAATTCATACAGAACCAAAAAAGACTCAGAATGACAAAAGCAATCCTGGGTAACAAGAGCAAAGCAGGAGGCATTACAATTCCAGATTTGAAGCTATATTACAAACCTACAATGATTAAAAAAAAAAAAGCATGGTACTGGCACAAAAACACCTATGTGAATCAGTGGAACAGAATGCAGAAAGCAGAATCAACACCAGGCACATTTGAGGATCCTGGAACATACACTAGATTAAGAGAGCCTCAATGAGAAATTGGATATCTACATGCAGAAGATTGAGTCTAGAAACATACACGTCACCATGTACTAAACTAAAATCCAAATGGATCAAAGATCTAATTGCTTAAAAAAATAGTTTGCTGGCAGATAAAATAGGTAAAATCTTTTTTGGAGTCAGGGTCTCACTATGTAGCTCAGGCTGGCCTTGAACTCATGGCAATCCTGCTTCAGCCTCCCTAGTGCTGGGGTTACAAACAAGTGCTGGGATTACATGTGCCACCACACTCGGCGGTAAAATTTTTGGAAGACAGGCACAAACAAGGACTTTCTGAACAGAACCATAAGGCCACAAGAAATAATACTGAGAATTACCAAACAGGATCACATCAAATTAAAAAGCTCTGCACAGCAAAGGAAACATCGACTAAGATATAACCCACAGAATGGGAAAAATACTTTGCAAGCTATTCTTTGGGCAGAGAACTAATTTAGAATACATAAAGAACTCAAAACAATTAGACCCCCCCAAATAAAACACCCAATCAAAAATTGGGCAAGTAAAATTAATACATGTCACAGAAGTACAAATGGTCAATAAATAGATGAAGAAATGCTTAACATCACTGGGCATTAGAGAAATGCAAAATTAAAACAACACTGAGATTCCATCTTACTCCAGAAAGAATGGCTATTAGAAAGAAATCAAGAATGGCTGTCATCAAGCTGGCAAGGCTGTGGGGGGAAAAGGAATCCTTCTACCCTTCCATATTGTTGGCAAGAATGTAAACTACTGCAAGCACACTGGAAATCAGTATGGAGATTTCTCAAAAATCTAAAACTAGGAATTCCATTCCACCTACTTATTTATTGCCCTTTGAGGTATCTTCCTAAAAGTTAAAGAGATCATATTGCAATGATATATAGATACCCATGTTTACAGCAGCACAACTCAGCTAAATCTTGGAAGCATCTTAGTTGGCCATCAACATATGAATGCATAAAGAAAGTGATATTTACACACAATGGAGTACCACTCTGCCATAAAGAAAGATAAACCTGAGGCGTTTGTGGGTGAATGGATGTACCTTGAGTGAAATAAATCAGACACACAAGCTTAAATACTGTACAGTTTCTTTTATATGGGAAACCCAAAACTCAGTAATATAAATAAAGGCAGAAAAATTTTTTAAAAAAGAGATAATAGGAAGTAGGAAGGTCTTTTTCAAATGGGAGGGGAAAGAAGAAGTGGAACAAGGGGGAGGGAGAGGAGGGAAGGGCATAAGAAAAGAATTGAAGAAATAGAAATAGAGCTTTTGCAAATGGGAAGGGGAACAAGAGTTGGAAAAAGCAGAGAGGCGTGAGAGGTGCTGGAGATGAGAAAAGCATTAAGATGTGTTTTGTACATGTATCAACTCCCCACAATAAATGTAATCATTATGTTCAGCACTGTGATCCCATCTGACTCCAGAAAGAACGACTACCATCAAGAAACTAAATCAGAAATGATAGCAGGCATTGGGAAAAAAGGAAACCTTTACTGTTTTATGATTGTAAATTAGTACATTCACACTGAAAGTTTGTATGGGATTCCTTAAAGTACTAAAAATAGAAATTCCAGGGCTGGGGATTTAGCTCAGCGGCACATTGCTTGCCTGCTTCAATTCCAGGTACAGGAGAGAAACCAAAAAAAAGAAAAAGAAATTCCTTTCAACCTGCTACTCCCCTGCTGTTAAGGTTGATACACTGTATCAACTTGACAAGTTTAGGTTAATGAAGTGACTCAGCATGGAGCCAGGGTCCTTACTTTGTAAATACTCTCATCCTAGGCAAGAGGAGGGCAAAGACATGGTATGAAGGCTACACAACCCTTGGATGGGGGGTACCTGCTTACAATATAAGGGAGGAAAAGAGGCTTGTTCTCCTCACCCCTTTAGTTGCTTTTGCTGTCTTCTGCCACCTTGAACTGTTGCCCCTGTGCCCTGCCACCCTGCCTTGGAGCCAGCTGATTACAGACTGAAACCTACACAAACTGTGACCTAAACAAACCTTTCCTTCCCTAATTTTGGGTGTCAGGTATTTTGTCTCAGCAACAAGAGAAAAGTAACTAAGACATCTTCTAGGTATCTTCCTAAAAGAGATAAAGTCATAATACAGTCATAGACACATACTCATGTTTAGAGCAGCACGATTCATAATAGCTAAATCTTGGAACCAACCTATGTCCACATCAACAGGTGAATGGGGAAAGAAAACATGGCATTTATAAGTAATGGAGTACTACTCTGCCATAAAGAAGGATAAATCTGAGTCATCTGCAGGAAAATGGATGTACCTGCCGACTATAATATTAAATGAAATAAATCAGACATACAGGGGCTGGGGATTTAGCTCAGCGGCAAAAGCACCTGCCTGGCAAGCGCAAGGTTGTGAGTTCGGTACCCAGTACCGGAGAAAAACCAAAAAAAATAAAAAAATAAAAAAAATTTTAAAAATCAGACATACAAGCTTAAATATCATATGCTTTCTATTATATGAGAAACCCAAAGTATAAATAAACTAATGAGCAAAATAAAAGACAGATAATAGGGAATAGGGAGACAGATCTTTTGCAAATGGGAGGGGACAAAGAGATGGAGTGAAGATGGGAGAGGAAGGAGCTGAAAAAAAATTAAAATGTGTTATATGCAGGTATCAACTCCTCACCATGAAAGTAATCATTATGTTCTGCAAATATGTACTAATAAAAAATTTTTTTTAAAACTTTCATCAAACTTCTCCTCCCGGGGGCTGGGGATTTAGCTTAGCGGCACAGTGCCTGCCTGGCAAGCACAACGTCGTGAGTTTGATTCCCGGTACTGGAAAAACAAACAAACAACAAAAAAAAACTTCTCCTCCCCTGTAAAAAAAGTACTTAGAAAAAGTTAGGGCTGGGGATACAGCTCAGTGGCTCAGCGCCTGCCTGGCAAGTTTGAGGTTGTGACTTTGATTCCTGGTACCAAAATAATAATAATAAAAAAATAAAATAAAAAGTTGATCATGTTTATGGAATGGAGAAAATATCAAATTAGACTTTGGTGGCAACATTTTTTAATTGTAAGATTTAGTTTAGTAATCCTCTAAGAGAAGTGCTTTAGAACAGTGTTTTTGTTTTATTTAAACCATAAATAGCTGGACATGTTTACGCAAGCCTATAATCCCAGCACTGAGATTGAGGCAGGAGGATCTTGAGTTGGAGGCCAGCTAGGGCTACATAGCAAATTCAAGGTCAGCCTGGATCCCAAGTGAGACTCTGTCTCAAAAAACAAGAACAACAAAAATGCCAGGGGGCAAAAAAAAGAAACAACTAAAGACATAAATACTACCCTTTCCCAGAAAGCCTCTACCTTTGTTAAGCCACATAATTCATTCAGAATACATAGCTGAACTTCAGATCTGTGCCCCCAAAGGACAGTTAACTCTACTTCAAAGTACTGTTGTCTGAATTGTGCAACTGTGCCCCTCCACAAACCCGTGTGTTCGAGGCCCCAATCTCCAATTTTCAGAATGTGACTCTATCTGAAGACAAAGTCTTTAAAGTAAGGTAAAACGAGGTATGTACGGTAGGCCCCTAAGCTAACATGACCAGTGTCATTAGCAGACACCAGACAATCATATGAAAGGGCAGCAAGAGGGTAGCCATCTTTCACTTATAAAAAACCAACTCCGCCAGCACTCTGATCTTAGACTAGAATAGTAAAAAAAAAAAAAAAACTTCTGTGGTTTAAGCCCCCCAATCTATAGTATTTTGTTACAGTAGCCTTAGCAAACTAATTCACAACGTCCAGCTCTTTGGAGTGATGAAAATCTTTAAAAAGCAGAATCTATGAATAGGACTGTAGATAGAGCAAAAAATGCACATCAGTGCCTTACTATATAGAAAGGAGAAATCATAAAACAACAGAGACCGAAGACCTTACCTGATTGCCAGCTTAGGTGTATAATGATGGTATGAGCTACTATTTTAGCTTCCTGTGTTCTCATCTGTAAGACCAGTAATTTCCTCGTCTTATAAAGCGTTGGGAAGATTAAATCAAGTATGGAAAAATGGATGGTAGAGGCAGGTATATGCACTGTTACTAACATGTTAGCTGAGTCTGAATATTACATCTACCAACCAAGTCAAAAGCATTTAACGTAGGAGATACATTCTTAAGTTCAGCATTTATTAAAAATTTATTGGAATTCTACTTTACAAAGCATTACTTTGCAAACTGGTTGGCATGAACCAGTCTGCCAGTTCTTGGTAACCCTAACCTGAACAGAAAAACCCAACAACCAAATTCTGAGATAGACATGACCACAGCAACCCCACAGCCTTTCACTGCAGAATGAGTCATGTGCACTTTCAAAAGAAAGAAAAACTAGCTCAGGGATATCTGAGGAACTAAAAGTTTAATACTCTGACTTACAACTTACCCCTACTGTTCCAGTTTTTAATTTGAATTTGCTTCCACCTTTCATGGCACCAAAAAGAGGTAATGTAAGCTTCTTAGCTTTGTTTCCTGAATCTGCAGTCTGACTTTCAGTCCTAAAAAAAAGGAACAATTATACATACCTATTCAGCCCAAAGTTTTATCTAAAAATACTACAATATTGACAAAGAAACTCCTAGCAAGACCAAAATTACCACCAAATGAGTATCTGCACACACAATATGAAGTATTCAGCCAGGCGTGATGGTGCCCTCCAATAGTCTCAGCCATTTGGGAGACTGACGCAGGAGAAGTACAAGTGTAAAGACGTGGGGACAACTTATTGAGATCCTGTATCAAAGTAAAATAAAAAAGGAATGTATCTGTAGTTCAATAGTACAGCTTTTGCCTTTTGTATGTGAGGCCTTGGATTTAATCCCCAATACCACAAGAAAGGAGAGGAAAGGAAAGGAGAGAAGAGGGGAGGGGAGGGGAGGGGAGAAGAGAGGGGAGAGGAGGGGACAGGAGAGGAAAGGAAGAAAGAAAAAAGAAAGAGAGAGAGAGAAGAGAGGGAGAGACACACCATATTGAAGCCAGTAGAGTTCTGAATGTGCAGTGACACTGATGACTTTCACGAACAGAAATATTAAGGGCAAGAGGAGGCTGTACCCTCAGTCTAGTAATCTGAAACATGCCGTATGACTTCACATTTATAAAATAATGACTACAGCAGAAAGATCACTGGCAAAGGAGAATATATGAGCAAGACCCCATCTCCAGTAAGCAGCAAGAGATAGATCCGTAATATAAAGCCCTACTGTCCACCAACCCCTGAAGAGTGCCTTACTTACCAGGAGTTCACACTTAAAACCACGCTTAGTGATTCTGAACACAGAATTTTTAAAAAAAAATGTGTGCATGGGGTGGGTAGCGTATCCTGTTTAACTGGAGACACTGCAACTGTTGAGATTGTCAATATTCTCGTTGGCTTGAGATAGTTATAAAAGCTAAGCCCATTAGGGCAAAACTAAAAAGGAACAAAAAAGAAGAGATAACAGAAATTAGAAAGGGGGACAGGAGAACTGCAAAAAACAAAGGGAAGGAAGCTGAGTTGACAAGATATGCAACTTGTAAGAACAAACAAAGGTAACAATGAGAAGATGGAAAGCAGGCAGAGGTGACAGAGACAGCAAAGAGAAGGCAGCATGAGGAGACAGAGGAAAATGTAAAAAGAACCACACTAAGCCAGAAAGCCTGTACTTTCTTCACATGGGCAATGGGACAGCCCTACAAACAGGGTTGTCAGTCCTGGCTCAGAATGACCCGTATCAGAAATTGGTTACCCTGGACCATCCTGAAGCTCAACTTGCCACTACTGCCACCTCTCATCTAAGTCTTGCCCCCTAGTGGTGCTACTGGGCCCAGCGTTACTGCCTTTGTCCTTATTAGTCAGAATCCATTCCCTTGCTATGGCTACTAGAAGAATTCTGCTTGCGGCTGGGGATTTAGCTCAGCGGCAAAAGCGCCTGCCTGGCATGCGCAAGGTCATGAGTTTAGTTCCCAGTACCAGAAAAAAAACCAAAAAAAAAAAAAAAAAAACAACAAGAATTCTGCTTGCCTGGCCTTAAAACACCCTCTGCCAAATCGTGATTCTTCATGCCTTTCCCCACAGGCCTCCTGAAGGCGTTGGCACAGAAAGACAAAGGCAAAAACAACACAAGTATTTTTCAGCTAAATTAAGTAGCTGATACATATTTAATAGTTGCATTAAATAGTTGGTCTGGTCTGGAAGATGTGCAAAGACTCCCAAAGGGGGTGAAAAAGCAGAAGGCAGGATCATAACCAGGAGTTGCTTGGGAGGCATGGCTGGGAGGCAGAGTTAGTTAGAAACTGGAAGTTCCAGGGGAAATTATGTAAGTACATATATCCAAAATAGCTAACACAGTTGTACTACTGACTTCTATCACTTTACTGAAAGGAATAGTTAATGATTACTTATTTGCTCTATCTTGCATGTCTCTATTTGTTTTCCTGAGAAACCACTTTGAAGGTATCAATACATAATACAACAACCATCACTAATTTCCTACTACTTTGTCTGTAACTCTGCACTGCTTGTATTGTTCCTATGCTATTTTGTAAATGGATATCTGTTTGTTAATGTTTTCCTTCTTTTATTTTTAAAATACATTTTTTTTAAAATGAACTAAGAAACTGGAAGTTCCACCCAGAGTGAGAAGAGCAAGAAGTGACATAGCATCTAAGCCAGAACCTAAAGCAGGAAAGGGGAAAGACAAGCAACCACTGACTGAGAAGAGGCTCTGGAGGAATGGATATACATCATCCAGCTCAGAACACCCCGAGCATTAAAGGGTTATAGATGTTGAATTAGAACTCACTAGTAATTTGTTTACCTTGGATACACCGAGTTTTTACCTTTTCTTCACAAAAACAACATTACAAATAATTGCTAGGCACAACAGAAATAGTAAAACTAAAGATGATGAAAATAATACACATATGCCAGTGTTTTAACCTTTCATTTAACCTTTGCATCCCCATTACGTCCAATTTACAGATGAGGAAAGAGATGATCACAGAAGTTAATAACTTGCCCCAGAGTACCCAAAAAGTAATTGACAGAGCTGAGAATTAAGCCTAGGAACCCTAACACTACTGCTAACCTACCTCCTCACCGTCAGTAAGGTAACTTAAATGTCACATTAAGTCATACGGACTTTTGTAGACTTACCCAGGAATCATTCTGTGGAGTCCTCTCATCTCTTCAGTGGGTGCCTAAAATCAGATAGTACCAAACTCTCTATATTTTTTCCCCCACATATATACAAATTTATTGCCCTTCTACCTTTACTAAATACTTATCATGCCCTGTCACTACATCTTTTGTAGTTTGGGCTGCAAAAGTAAACTAATGTAAGTTTCTTTTCCTTTACCCACAATTTCATGGATAGAAGATTTGTTCTTACCACAGGATCTTAGCAACCTAAGCAAGTAATTTTTTTTCCTTATTAAATCAAGAAATGTAACTGTGCTGAGCCCTTGTTCAGACTAGCTTAATGCACTCTAACCCAGCTATACTGCTTTTACCCCAGGTTTATGACTACAAGAAATAAAAAGAGAAAGAATAAAAAAAGGCAAGTGAAGCCCAGCTCCACAACTTCCAGCCATTTGCCTCTAAAATAAGTTAGGTCTAACCCCTAGGCCCTTCTCCCCACCGCCTCTCCACATTAATTATGAAAACTGGGGCTTCTCCAGTAAGAATTTTAGTCTTCCAGCTATTTAGTATTTTGAAACCACAGCACAATAAACTGAGTCCTAAAGCCATATGGCTATTTGGGTCAGAACTTTTTCTTTTAAAAACACAGTGTATGTTAATAAACTGTACCCACAAGCTCAAAATTCCGTAAGCATAAAGGGAATATACTGTGAACAGTCCCCTACCACTGCTGTCCCCTAGCCAGCCAATTCCCTTGTAAGAGGCAACTGATATTATCGGCTTTTTATCAATCTTCCCGGAGATACAGTAGCAGATGCTGCTGGTATTCCTGTCTAAGTCCCTTCACCAGGGCTATCAGCTACTGTACGCACTGACTGCTATAGGCCCACGACTGCACCTTTCTCAACAAAATTGTTGTTCTTCCTCTCCATGGTCAATGAAGGGTTGGACAGAGGCATAAGAGCCCCAGCCCCTGGCACCTGTCACATCTGTGCTGCTATTACAGCTCTTAAAACCACATCTTGGTCCAGTTTCTCCCCATGCCCTATCCTACTCCTTCCTTCCTTGAGGGCACTTTCTCAGTGAATCAGGGGTACAGAAATCCCAGTCTAAGGCTGCTTTTAGGAACCTGACCGAAACAGATTATATGCTACACAAAAAATGTCCTACTTGCCTAGGTGTTCTTCCCCTACTGCACACAGGCCTTATTATACACACTGTCCTACTACTCAATGTCTTTTCTTACTTAATATACTTTGACAATGTCACATTTTAAATAAAGTTGCTTCCTTTTCTTTTTTTTTTTTCACAGCTGAGTGGTGTTCTCCTGTATACCTATAATTCATCTAATCCATCCTCTGTGATAAACATTTAGGTAGGTTCTCATCTTTTACTGTCATAAACAATGCTGCAATATACATTTGTTTTCTAAGTATGCAAGAGACAAACAACTAGAAACAATAATTAGGTCAAGGGCATATGTATTTGTAATCTGGACAGACACTGTCAATTTGCCCTGTATAGGGAATGTCCTAATATGTCTTTAAGTCACAGCCTCATCAGTACGTCATATTCATACCTAATGAACCTTGGTCCATTTCATAGATAAAAATTTGTATTACAATGGAGTATATTGTGAGGTTAAGCATCTTTTTATATATTGAAAACTGTACTTTTTCTGTGGCTTTTCAGTTGGTATCTTTGCCCATTTATGTCTTGGTGATTAGTTATCTACTTAATATTCATTGGTCTTTATGTTTCACAGAAATTAGTCTTTTGTGCATATTGCTTTTTGAAAGTTTATGGGTGTGGTAACACACCATCTGGGAGACTGAGGCAAGAGGATCATGAGTTCGAGCCCAGGCTGGACAACCTAGTGATGTACCAAGATCTGTCTCAAAATAAAAAAAGGCTGGAGTGTAACTCAGTGCAAAGACCCTGGGTTCAATTCCCAGTACCACCAAAAAAAAGTAGTTTATTCTGCACAAAAAGGGTGAGTAAAAAAAACTTCAGCTGGCTTGGTCTTGGTGGCACACCTACAATCTCAGCTCTTGGCAGGCTGAGGCAGAAGAATTACTATGAGTTTGAGGCCAGCATGGGCTACATAGTGAGTTCAATGCCAACCTGGACTACATAGTGAGATCCTGTCTCAAAGACAAAGACAAACAGGGCTGGGGATATAGTTCAGCAGCACAAGTGCCTGCCTGGCTAGCACAAGGTCCTGAGTTCAATTCCTGGTACCAAAAAAA